GCAGTTTAAGCCTGGGCATGTGATTCAGTTATGACCACAGATGTGTGAGGGAAGTTCCATTGAGGGGCAAGTGCCTCTCTTTGCTGATTTAAAAAACAAATAGGAATAAATACTTCCATGCTACATCTGAATGTTTTCTTGTCCATCTGTGCCCCCTGGGACTCTGCAACCATCATGAAACCATGAAAAGAATAAGCCAATATGCTGACCATGGCGAGCTGACAAAGATGGAAGGGAATCCAGGTCCTTAATGTAGTTAAGCCATTCTAAAAATCTAATTAACTTTGAAACTGTCCGACCTCCTGTTAAGCCCTTCTAGTTTAAACCATTCTCAGTTGGCTCTTTTGTTACTTGTAGCTTGCAATATCTGAGCCAGACATTTGCTGGTTGATTATCAGTTCTGTTTCCCTACCTGTCACCTGTTCTGGTTTGTATTGCTGGAGCTGACCCTTACAGACCGTTTCCTATTTTCCCTTGCCCACTGACATCTGTCTATATTCAGTCAATGGCAGGCACTGATGGGAGACTAGAAAGAAGCAGCCAAGCGTTTCTCCCTCTCTCTGCTTCTGGTTGTGGCTTCATTTTTTTCCCATGTTTTCAACTTCTGGAAGACCACCTTTCCCTCTAGGGTCCCAGAGCCTGCTGGGCAGTCCCTGACTTTTCTCAGCATCTTTGGGGTTTGCCTCACTCTCCCATAATGTCTTTCTGCATTTCTGACATCTTTGCAATTGTTTTCCATATTAAACATCCTCTTTTGAACTACTTATTGAACGTTCTCTGTCCTGATTGGACCTTGATGGATTTTCCTAACAGAATCAACACTTTAGGAGGAGATAGGAAGGCAAAGGAGGATGGAATCCTGCAAAAGTGGTTCCTCTTCCCCGAAGAGAAGGAACCAAGTTACTTGTCATTGTGAGTTTAAATCCTCTCCTCATAACTCTGCAAATTAACACAAATGAAAACTCAAAAGTGCTGTTATTAGTATTAAGTATGGAAAATAAGGGAATTTACCCTTTTATAGTCCACCCCAGTTTGGGACAGTTACATTGCAGCTCTTTCATAAATGTCATTATGAATATGCATTTCTCATGCTATTTAATGACATTTAATTTCCTATCATCAGTATTTTATAATCTGTTGGACAGCTGTCATTTTTACTAATATTCCTATTTGAAGCCCTAGTGGCCCTAGTTATCCCATAGAATCCAGCTTCCGTGCTACAACTGATTAAAATAGAGGAGATATAGCACCACTGTGTGCCAGTTACACTCTCTCCCCAGAAGGTAGAACTGAGATCCCTATATTCTAGTCAGTCTCTATTAGTGCCTTAACTTGGAAGTTATATTAACATGATCTGAGGAATAAGCACCCTGTTCCTTTGCCCAAGCAGAGAAAGTCAATCAGTAGATAGACCAAACCAAAAATGAAACAGACATTTTGAATGCAGCTGATATTGTTTCATGGACTACACTATGCTGTCCTAAGAAGCAGGGCCATAGATTAGACCAGAAATGACAATACAGTCCAACCAATTAACTCACATTTCAACTTTGCTTTGATGCTGCGTTTTTTTTTCATCTTTGAGAGAAATATGTAAATTTATTTTTTTTTATTTTATTTTTTTTTTATAAATTAATTTTTATTGGTGTTCAATTTACCAACATACAGAATAACACCCAGTGCTCATCCCGTCAAGTGTACCCCTCAGTGCCCGTCACCCATTCACCCCCACCCCCCACCCTCCTCCCCCTCCACCACCCCTAGTTCATTTCCCAGAGTTAGAAGTCTTTATGTTCTGTCTCCCTTTCTGATATTTCTCACACATTTCTTCTCCCTTCCCTTATATTCCCTTTCGCTATTATTCATATTCCCCAAATGAATGAGAACATACACTGTTTGTCCTTCTCCGGTTACTGTGGCCAAGTTCAAAAAGGGTGTTGCCTGAGTTCTTCTCTGGGATTTTGATGGAATCTTGTCTCACATTTAGATCTTTCATCCATTTTGAGTTTATCTTTGTGTATGGTGCATGAGAGTGGTCCAGTTTCATTCTTCTGCATGTGGATGTCCAATTTTCCCAGCACCATTTATTGAAGAGACTGTCTTTCTTCTAGTGGATCGTCTTTCCTCCTTTATTGTATATTAGTTGAGCATAAAGTTCAGGGTCCACTTCTGGGTTCTCTGTTCTGTTCCATTGATCTATATGTCTGTTTTTGTGCCAGTACCACACTGTCTTGATGAACACAGCTTTGTAGTACAACCTGAAATCTGGCATTGTGGTGCCCCCAGATATGGTTTTCTTTTTTTAAAATTCCCCTGGCTGTTTGGGGTCTTTTCTGATTCCACACAAATCTTAAAATAATTTGTTCTAAGTCTCTGAAGAAAGTCCATGGTATTTTGATAGGGATTGCATTATACGTGTAAATTGCCCTGGGTAACATTGACATTTTCACAATATTAATTCTGCCAATCCATGAGCATGGAATATTTTTCCATCTCTTTGTGTCTTCCTCAATTTCTTTCAGAAGTGTTCTGTAGTTTTTAGGGTATATTTTGAGAACCATTTGAATGGTAAATGGTTCTCCAACCTTTTATTTTCAGGTTGTAGGTGTCCTTCTGTCTAAAATGAGTCTCTTGTAGACAGCAAATAGATGGGTCCTGTTTTTTTATCCAGTCTGAAACCCTGCGCCTTTTGATGGGGTCATTAAGCCCATTCACGTTCAGAGTTACTTGAACTTTTTCTTAAAGGGGAGTTTTAAGAGTCCCCCTTAAAATTTCTTGCAGAGCTGGTTTGGAGGTGAAATATGTAAATTTAAAGCTAAAACATCTCTCCTCTCTTTCTCTTCTCCTCCCCCCCTTCCCCCCCCCGCCCTTTTTTTCCTTCCCCCTCCACCCTTTCACTTCACATATTTATCGACATCCTCTGGGCACATACCTTGAATAAAGGCAACTACAGTTCCAGCATAACAGTGGAGGCAAAAGCCTGACACCAATTTTAAAAAGCAAACAAAGCCTAATTTTTAAAGAAATAGAAGAACTATCCAGCAGAAATATACACCCTTCTTTCTATACAGAAAGTTCAATTATTCCAGCCATTCCCCCTCAATACATACACATAACTACTTATTCAGAAGAACACAATCCAAAGAACCTTCTAGCTATGCTTCTAGAGGCAATGTCATGAAACCACTATTTTTCCAGTCCAGTGTCTCTAAATTATTTATTTATTCCTTTAGTTGAGTCTTAATCTGATCCAGTTGTAATATCTCGTAATCCTACAGCCTAGACTAAATCATAAATGTAATCCCTATCAACCACCTCTTATGTACCACAACACAGAGCAAATACAACTACAATGGAAACTTCCATTTAGAACAACACAGAGAGAGGGGAAGAAATCATGCAATATGTATCATTTGCTGCTGGACAGAGGTAATGAAGCAAAGTAGTGAATGAATCACTGAGTCTCATGAGCATCATTTGGTTGACTTGGCAGTGGTGAGAATTCTACTGTCGACTAATGTGGCTCTCTGATATTGCCTGCTGAAATCATTCCTATCGCCAAGGGAATACATATAAGGACATTAGACAACCCATTTGGGAAGGAAGGGTATATTTCATTTGCAATTCACTTGTTAACTGTATGGGGGTCTAAAAATGGCCTGAAGCCATCTAAGGAATTGGGCTCTTCTGTCCCATTGATTTCCGTGCATCACAGGCCTGTTATATAGTTTGGTTTTTGCTGGTGCTACAATTCGAATAACACCATAGTCACCTATGAGTTTCACTTTATGGCAACATCCTAAAAATCAAACAACAAAAACTTTATCAGGTCAGCATGGTTGTTGAGTTGAAGAGCCAAGGCTGGGCTATAATGATAAATTTTCTGTTCATTAGTCGCAACTTTGAGGACCACACATACCTAGTGCGCTCTGTTTGGCAAACTTTGTTTCAGGACAGTATGGGTGAAGAAACTGTCTGAGCTGGCCGAGAACTCTTCTTTTTCTTCTAGAATAGCACCCTACCCGCAAATTCCAGGCCAGTGTAGTTTGCAATGGCAGCATCATCCTGTTTGTCAGGAGAGTGAGTGTGAGGCCCAGTGGTGTGGCTCAGGGTATCAGGTATCCCACATCCTCCATTAATTCCTCCCTGTTGTAGTTGACAGGATCTTCCATTTTCTCAGTCAGTACTTCAATGTTACACAGAGAAAATGAAGCAAGTCTGAGAACTTGACTTCTCTGCACTTTTGTCTATCTTGATTTGGACCTCAGCATTATTAGTTCCCAACTCCTCTTTTTTTCCTGCTCACATTCAGGAAAACCTTTTATTTTTTATTTTTTAATTTTTTTTACGGGGTTGCTTAAAGATAAAAGCAACCACTTTTTTTTTTTTAAGATTTATTTATTCATGAGAGACACAGAAAGAGAGGCAGAGACAGGCAGAGGGAGGAGAAGCAGGCTCCATGCAAAGAGCCTGATGTGGGACTCGATCCCGGGAATCAGGGATCAGGCCCTGAGCCAAAGGCATACAGACGTTCAACCGCTGAGCTACCCAGGCATTCCATATGCAGGAAAATCTTGATGGGTGCATGCAAATTTTTTGTTGTATCTTATTGAAGTTACTCAGGAAAAATCAGCATAATCTGATTTATCAGTCTGAGTATAATCAGGAGAAAAAAATCACATAGTAATTTGACCAGAAAAAGTAAAAAAAAAAAAGATTTTATTTATTAATTTGACAGAGAGAGAGAAAGTGCAAGCACACAAGAAAGGGGAGGGGCGGAGGGAGAGGGATCAGCAGACTCTCTCTGCTGAGTGGAGAGCCACATTCCATGTGGGGCTTGATCTCAGGACCCTAAGATCATGACCTGAACTGAAGGCAGATGCTTAACCAGCTCAGCCACCCAGATGCCCCATCCAGAGCAAGTTTAATATAAAGTTTTTAAAACTCTAGTAAGGGATTGGTATAATAAGTAAAGAGGAGGCTAAAGAATATAGGCTTCAATGCTTACTTTAGCAGCACATGTACTAAAATTAGAACCATACAGAGAAGATTGGCATGGCCCCTGAACAAGGATGACACGCAAATTCACGAAGCATTCCATATTAAAAAAAAAAAAATTAAAAGAGACTTGATTGCCCAGAGAAGGGCCCTTCCACCAGTAGGATGGAGATCCTGACCTTGCTGGAGAGGACGCAGCCCTGGTTCACTGGATGGCAGAGAAGTCTCTATAGTATCATGCTGGGGGAACTTGCTGGAAATACATCCTCTAGGATGCAAGGGAAAGCTGTTTACAGAGATGTGTCTCATGGAGGCATTTTGTTATAAAACCAACCAGGGGGACTTTGGAGCAAGCTGCTATCTGCTGGGTGCTGCTGGCCACTGCGCACTGCAGAAGCTGGGGTTGACCCTGTGCGCTATAGCGAAGCAAGCACATCAGAAATGGGAAACAATACCCCTTTCCTCCTGCAATTTCTCTCTAGTGCCATCTGTTGGAAAAATCTAGTATAGTGCCAGCTGGCAAAGGAAAAGTACTTAAGGGCCCAGATCTATTTTCACACAACAAGCAAAAAGAATACATTTGGAACTTAAGAATTAATAGACTGATAACTGGCAGACTGACCCATTGACATTTTGCTTCTAAGTTTTCTAAAGTTTTACCCTTCACAACCACATGCCTTAAGCCCAAGAAATTTAAGGATATAGCGTTGGCCATTGCTTTATAACTTAGACAATCTTAAATTTCTAACTCTACCTGCAGGAATCTACTGCCTCAACTCCCACAGAGCCACAGCTCAGCTAGTTATGCATTTTCTCTGATGATCTGAAACAATGATCCCACTTCTGGTATTGATGTCTATTATCACTTGGAACTCTATGGTGGTCACATTACAGAACCCAACTTGAACTAGGTGATGGGGGAAATGCATTTTAAGGGTGCAGAAATATCGAATGGAATCCATATTAATCAAGTTTCTTTGCATTCCAAGTGATAGAAATCCAAATATTAAAATGTCTTAAGCAATAAATAAAATTTTCTAGTTCACATAATTCCAGTGGTAAAGCTGAGATGAGGCGTGTTTGAAACCAGAGACTCAAAAGATATCATTAGGATTGAGTTTTTCACTTCCTCTTGGCTCTGCTTTTCTTGAATTCACTTTAGCCTCAGGCATACTTCCCTCATAGTGGTCTCCAAGTACGAAATTATTTGAGTTTAGGATTCTCAGTTTAAAAAACAACATTAACAGCATAACCAACAACAAAAACAAAAACTGCCTTCTTGTCTTAAGCGTTCCATCAAAAAACCTATAAGTGATACAAACCCAGATTGCTGACTCAAAACAATAAATATCTAAGAGAATGTACAACCACTACAAATAGGGGAAAAAAGAATCAAACAAAGCTGTGTGCCTTAAACTTTATCCCAAGTCTGGAGAGAGACCTGTGGGTGGAAAAAATAGCAACAGGGAGGAGAATTGTTTGCTCTCTATATTTAAATACTTTATTTTTGAAATCTCAAGAATTTTACCAGTGAGATGATACTTCTTTCCTAAATTTCACTGACAATTATAATTTTCCAAACTGGGTAGTGTAGAATTATATATACACCATGGTATTTGGTTTACCCACATACTAATTTTGTTTGTTTGTTTGTTTGTTGTGGTAAAAAAATATATAACATAAAATTTACCATTTTGACCATTTTAAGTGCATAGCTTACTAGTGTTAACCATAAGCACCTTGTTATGCAATGGGTCTCCAGAACTTTTTCATCTTTTAAAACTGAAGCTCTATATCCACTGACCAATAACACCCCCTTCCTCTTGCACCTGACAACCACCATTCCATTTTGTTTCTAATAGTTTTACTAGATGATTAAAATTTTTTTATAACGAAATTATTATTTCTCTCTTTAAGATAGTTTTCAAACCAACATGCCTCAAACCTGAATATTTGGAGAACATACTTTTGAAATACTATCAAAGGACAGTGTGAGTTTATTTATAAGATTTTGACCTTCTGGGGATCCCTGGGTGGCTCAGCGGTTTGGCGCCTGCCTTTGGCCCAGGGCGGGATCCTGGAGTCCCGGGATCAAGTCCCGCATCGGGCTCCCAGCATGGAGCCTGCTTCTCCCTCCTCCTGTGTCTCTGCCTCTCTCTTTCTCTATGTCTATCATGAATGAATGAGTGAATGAATGAATCTTAAAAAAAAGATTTTGACCTTCTTAAGGCTCTTGGGTGGCTCAGTCAGTTGGGCAGCTGCCTTCGAATTGGGTCATGATCTCAGGGTCCTGGATTTGAGCCTCACATCGGGCTCCCCACTCACAGGGTGTCTGCTTCTCCCTCTCCCTCTGCCTCCTCTCCCTTTCTCATACTCTCTCTCTCTCTCTCTCTCTCTCTCTCTCTCTCATAAATAAATAAGTAAATTCTTAAAAAAATATTTTGACCTTCTTGCACACATTATTAAAAATGTATCAAAGGGACAATGTGAAATGCACTTAAAGGTATATTAAAAAATATCTAGTATATCAAATTCCTCATGATGGGATTAGTGCCTCATAAGAGTGTTCTAGCTCATGTAAGGACACAGCAGAAGGTGGCTATCAGCAAGCCAGGAGCAGAGCTCTCACTAGAAACCAAATGCTGGTGGAACATGTTGTTGGACTTTCCAGCCTCCAAAACTATGAATAAATTTCTGTTAAGCCACCCAGTATAAGGTATTCTATTATGACAGCTCTAGCAGACTAAGACACTTGTATTGAGTTTATAGTGGGGCTTTGTGAAGATAAAGTCAATATCATTCTCTGCCCTTAAGGAGATTCCAGTCTCCTGAGCATTAGGCATATAAACAAAGAAATAGAATAGCTGTAGCAATGAAAGTGTGGTGGAGGGATAGTAATGATATAAAGGATAGTGTCATTGACTCTACTTGGATCACTCAAAAAAGTCTTTTCAGAGAAATCATGGAATTTATTTTAGGCTAAGAAAAAAGTATACAAAATCACAGAGGCAGGAAACAATATAATGTATTGGGGGTAAAAGGTCTAGAACAATGATAAAATATTTTAAGAGCTTGAAAATAAAAAAAAAATAAAAAGAGCTTGAAAATAGTGAATAGGATTGCTCTCTGGGAGTTAAACTAAAACTAACCATAGATGACAGAGTTTAAGTGTGATAATTTAGATATAATCTTCTTCCCAGGCTGACCTGACAGTAAACTGAATTATGTATTAACATATTGAATGACAGTGTCAATAAAAAGGCTATGTTTTAAAAATTACTGGACTTGGGGCACCTGGCTGGCTCAGTCAATAGATCATGTGACTCTTGATCTCTGGGTTGTGAGTTCGAGCCCCATGTCAGGCATAGAGATTACTTAAAAAAAAACAAAAACAAAAACAAAACGAAACAACAAAAAAGGAGGCCTTTGAAAAAGCAAAAATAAAAAATAGCTCTAATTTATACCCTCTCTTTTTTTGTTAGTATGGATGGCAGTGCAATAATTACGATCCTGCATAGAGGTTCCATTCTGGATTAGAGGGCCAGGAAATATTTCCAGAAGTACAATTATTAGGTCAAGAGGTAAGATACCATTACCAAACTGCTTTGGAATGTATAAATTATACCACTACCATCACCACAGTGTGTCAGTTCTACTACATCTTTCCTGTGTGAAAAACTATCAGTTGAGAAATTTTGCCGATACTGATTCAAAAATTTATCGAGAGATCACACAATGCCAGATATTGTGTCAAGAGAGAAAAAAAATGGTATCATTATGGTGTCCAAGTTAATATCTCAGATAACTGGTAACATTTGCATGTTTTTTTACATATGTGCTTTCCAATATTTCTTCATTTTTAACTATATATTTACCTTCATTGCATATTTATCATTATGGTTGAATGTTATCTCCCAGAATTCAGGTCAAAGTCCTAACTCTCAATGTGATACTATTTGGAGTTATTACTTTGAGAAGTAAAGAGGTTTAGATGAATTTATAAGAGTGGATCTCCCCATGATGGGATTAATACTCATAAAACAAGAAAAAAAGAAAGGAGGGGCACCTAGTTGGCTCATTCATGCCTTTGGCTCAAGTCATGATCTCAGGGTCCTGGGGTGGAAATATGCATCCGGCTCCCTGCTCAGCAAAGAGTCTGCTTCTCCTTCTCCCTCGAGCCACCGTCCCCGCCAGGTTGTGTGCTGTCCCAAATTTTTTTGGGATCCCAGCATTGTTCAGTGATTTAGCATCTGCCTTTGGCCCAGGGCGTGATCCTGGGGTCCCAAGATCGAGTCCCACATTGGGCTCCCGGCATGGAGCCTGCTTCTCCCTCTGCCTGTGTCTCTGCCTGCCTATCTCTCTCTCTCTCTCCCTGTGTCTTTCATGAATGAATAAAAAAAAAAATCTTTTAAAACAAAAGAAAGAAGAAAGAAAGAAAGAAAGAAAGAAAGAAAGAAAGAAAGAAAGAAAGAAAGAAAGAAAGAAAGAAAGAGAACAGAGCTTGCTCTGTCTCTGCTATACAGAGCTGGCCGTCTACAGCACAGGAATAGGGGCCTCACCAAGAACTGAATCCACTGACACCTTGATCTTGAACCTCCCAGCCTCCAGAGCTGTGAGAAATAAATGTCTGTTGTGTAAGTAACCCAGTCCATAGTATTTTGTTATAACAGCCTGAGCTGAGTCACTCACCTATTGAGATATTTTTACTAATTATACTGCTTTGTTACATAAAGACTTTCAGCAGATTACTAGTTTTAATACTTTTTATCATTCTTAAGATCTTTATATAATCAAAACGTGGTTTTACATATCTTTGTATCATCAATAACTATAATGGTTGATAAGAGAGCAGAAATATTTACTAAGTAGCTACCATGTGCCATTGTTTTAGATGTTGTTTTAAAACGGACATTAAGATGTTGGTTAACTTAGTGGTGTCTACCCGCACTCAAAGAATTTACATTCTAAAGAGGAGAGGCACTCAGTAAAAATGAAAATAAATATGCAGGCTACTTGCAAATTCTAGTAACAGTTAAGAAGAAACTACAATAGGCTAATGGCAAAATGGGGAAGAGTCTTTGGCTAGAATTATGAGGAAAGATTATGACATGGAACTGAGTGTTGAATGACTTAAGAGGACAGACATGCCAAACTCTGGGGGAAGAGCTTTCAAACAGAAAAAATAGGAAGTACCAAAGCACAGGGACCATTACAACCTTGGTATGTTTAGTAAAACTATAGACCAGTGTGGCTGAAATGTATGGATCAAAGGCAAGAGTGGGATGAGATGAAATTGGAGAGATAGGCAGGGGCCAGATCATGAAAGTCTTTTGAAGAGAATGGGAAGGCATTTGGACTTTATTCTGGTAACAAGGGGAAGCCTTAGGAGCATTTTAGTAGTGAGGAAGGAAAGAGGCATATTCAGATTTATGCTTTTGAAGATCCCTCTGACTGCTATATGGATAATGGACCATATCAAGTAGAGACAGGGAGGCCTGTCTACTGCAGGGATCCAAGCAAACGAGGATGGGTTTGATTAAAACTGTAATCACAGAGATGGTGAGAAATGGATGGATCTGATTACATTTTGACAACTTGCTGACATATTCATTAGAATTCAGATATTCTAATTCTGTCCATCTGGGGAGGGCCCAGAAAAACACAGTAACAAGTAACCCAAGTGGTTCTGATGAAAGTACACAGTAAGTTATGGAGAAAATACATGTGTAAGGGACTGAGAACACACTTGGCTTTTTTTTTTTTTAATGAAAAGGAAAAAGTGACTCAAAAGACAAAATTATTGTTTTATGTTTGAGAAACTCAAAGATCTTTCATTTGGTAAAATGATCCCAAACTTTGAGTAAAATTAAGCAAAATATTACAATGGCAAAATGAATATGAGTTCCTGTCTCTAATAAGCTAGTCTCTTTTTGACTTTTTGCCTCTCCTGGCTTGAATTCATGACCCCCAAGATCATGCTTTACCAACTGAACCAGCCAGGTGTCCCTCCACATGTGTTTTTAATCCCTTTTTCCTGTGGACCTCCTGGTCTCTGCCAGCCCTTCCTGGCTTTCTACTTCCATGGTTGGCATTACTATTTTATTCCACCATCCAATTCTCTTCTACCCAGAAGATTGCATTTCCCTCTATGCCTTGAAATTACATATGGCCATGACTTGCCTTGGCAAATGAAATGTGAATGGAAATGCCCTGTGTAACCAAATCTCCAGCCCACTGTGGTATGGCGTGACTGGGGAAGCACATGGTAATATACAAATGCCCCGAGACCAAAACAATCTGGGATTCTGAGGCTGGAGAACAGGGGGAGAATAGCCAGGATCCACAGTTGACTTTGCGTGAGCATTAGGGTTTGGGGTTGTTTGTAATCGCAGCATGACCTAATCTATCTTGACCAATCTCTCCCCGTGGTTCACCTTCACTGGGCTCTCATATGGCTGCTTTGCAGCAATGATTAGCCTTAATCAAGACCCATGTGTAGCCTTCTCTGAAACCTCCATGATTAAAATACCAGATGGTTTTCTAGTTATAAGGTAGAAATTTAAATATTTCTTAGGGGATCCCTGGGTGGCTCAGGGGTTTAGCGCCTGCCTTTGGCCTGGGGCGTGATCCTGGAGTCCCGGGATCAAGTCCCACATCGGGCTCCTTACATGGAGCCTGCTTCTCCCTCTGCCCATGTCTCTGCCTCTCCCTCTCTCTCTGTGTCTCTCATTAATAAATAAAATCTTTAAAAATAAATAAATATTTCTTAGCCTCAAGGATCTCAAACATGCATGTCCTTCTGCAATATTTTGTCTTATCTTCAATAAAGATAATCTAGGGGATAGAGGTAAGTCTTCTTAACCCATTCTGGGTTGCCTCTTTTACTTTCAGTAAACAGTCATCAGAGGTCATGTCCATAACACCGGAGTTCTGGCCTGTACCTCTTCTTGTGAAAAATCCAAAAAGCTTTCATATGTTTGAACATATTCTGATCTGGGGTACATATGATAGCTATTGCCACCCAAAATTTCATATGCACTTAACCAGGAGTTGGATTTATAGAGTCCATTTACATCTTATCTTTTAAATTTCAATGAAGCCCCTTGGAAACAGAACAAGTACTAACTTGATGATGCTTAGCACTACCCTGGCCTAAATCTGGGTTTCTAAACCTTAGCATTATTGACATTTGGGCAGGGTAATTCTTTGCTGTGGAGAGTTATCCTATGCATTATAGATGTTGAACAGCATCCATGGCCTCTACCCACATCCCTGCCAATAGCACACCCCAGTTATGACAACCAAAAATGTATCTAGACATTGCCAATGTCCTCTGGGAGGCAAAATTGCCCCCAGGTGAGAACTACTGGCCTAAAATGAAGGTATATGTTTGTGATAGATATTGCCAAATGATAACAATTTAAAAAGCTAATCAAATTTGTAAAAAATTATCAAGATTCATATTTAAGAACAGACACAGTAGACATTTTAATGAAAGCAATGGTCCTGCCATTCTTTATTTCTAACAATAATACATATTTACAGAAGGAAAAGAATTGTACATTTAAAATTCTAATCATCATACAGATTTGTTGTTGCAATTGAATAATAAAAGAACAAATCTCTTAGTGACTTTTTAAAACAACTTCAGTGTTTAAAGATACAAATGATAATATCATAAACTTGCAATAACTGGGTAAGCTCACTTCAAAATGAAAGATACCTAGCACCAGTAAAAGAAATGAAGCAACATCACTGGAGACAGGATCTCTTAGGAGTTCTGATCTGAAGCTCTGTTCATCACAGATTCATAATCCAATTTTTAAACCTACGTTTTAGAAACTTGGGTGAAAAAGTATATGAAGGAAAATCTCCATAGCTTTTTGCTGGGTTAGAAGATGTTAGTTTTTAAAGAATAACATGTCGATCAGTTTTTTTCCTTATAAAGCCTTGGAAAAAATGCCTCTGAGGGGCTACAAAGTGAATGAAACTTTTTTGTTAGTAGTCAACAGCTTCAAATATTAGTTTTCATCCTGCTCCCCCCCATTTTATTAAGAAATAATTGACATAGATCAGTATATAAGGTTTAAGGTGTACAGTATGATGGTTTGATTAATGATTTTCATTTTTTAAAACAATTAATTATAAATTCCTTTTTATAAAAGGTTAAAGGCACAGTGAAACAACGAATATTTGCACTTCATCATTTTAGAACTCAAAATAATTCAGAAAGCAAACTAATTCAGGTGGCCAGCACCTCATTTGTCCTGTAGGTGGCAAAATTATCCCAAGAGGAACCCAGGAACAGGCTGTATAATTGCTGCACTGAAGTTAATGGTGGTAGATGACTTTTTAAAGCTTTTCTTAAAATCTAGGTTTTAAGATTTTGAAGTTTTTTCAGGTTCAAGTTTTACAGATTTAAAGATGCCTTTTATGTTGCTCTGAACTAACAAAGATTTATTTTCTGGACAGAAAAGATTTATTTTCTGGACCATCGGTACTAATGCTCAGAAATATAGTTTTATTTTTTAGGGACTAGATTTCCAGCCTGATTATCTCTGAAAAATTCCTCTCTTTTTACATTTGTTGTCCAGCGGGTTTTGCTTTATCGGATGATCTATCCAAATTGCAGGACAAGAGCTTGTGAAACTAAAAATCTGTTCTTACTTGTCTGCAGCCATGAAAAGCAAGCTTGAAGTCTATATCTAAAAGGGAGGGAATAGGCCCTCTAGATTTTGGCTGGTTTTTACATTTTTCTAATTACCTCACAGTAGATAGCAGAATAGTAATAAGCAAGCTTTAAAGAAGGAATGGACAATTTATTATAAAAAAATTGGAGGCACCATGATTATGACTACGTTTATGTGTAAGGAACAAAGTTTATAAATGATGACAATTAGAAAGCTAACTACAGCCAAATAGTTTATCCTCAATTGTTATCAGTACTCTTCATAGCTTCCTTTGCTTGCTTACAATACAGAGACGTCATTCTACATCCTGGATTCGTCATTGAAGAGCCAGATATGAAAAATAGGACCATCAGATAACTACTAGTGGCAAGCACTGAATACACAGTTATTTGAAGAAGTAAGACTAAATGGAGAATAGAAGGGAGAGAGTATAATATGTTACACCAATATGTTCTGCAAATGCTGCCAAAGTATGACTTTTAAAAATAGAGAATGGGAAGAGCAACTGAAAAGGTTTTGTTTCAGTTATCATACTGGTGGTGGTTGTATTAGCATTGTTATTCTGAGGCTGCTGCATGTGTAAGGTAAATAAAGGAAATGAATAACTGTGGGATATTCTAACTCTATCATGCCCCATGTCCTTGAAAACCAGGATTCTTATAGTTGTAGTAGAAAGGATTAAGTAAAAGCTTGTACTCAATTTAATTTGGAAGTTTCACAATAAACTCACAAAGTGTTTTATCTTAGAAAAAATAGGGATTTCCTAGCTTTCTCCTAGAATCAATGGCCAATCCAATAGCAATGAGCATTCTTTGAACCTTAATTATGGTTTTGAAATACCATTTCTCACTGAAAGTAACCAGGCTTCCTAGAGAAATGGCTCATTCTAGGTCTGGGGCATGAAGCTTCTAAGTTGAGCCTGGAATATCTTGTCTTCCAAGATAGCAAAGAAGCTAATAAAGACAGCTCATGTAGTGTCAAAATGATTCAGAGAAAACTTGATGAGGCACCCAATGGCCAAAGATGGGACAATTTGAACTCCAATAAGGTAATATTTGAATTGGTTGAAGCCTATCAAATATGTTTGAATCCATGAGTTCGTAACGCTGAAAAAAGAAGTGATCTCTGGAAGGTAACAGGAATCAAGTTTATTATCTTGAAAATCAGTAAATGAAGGGAAAATACAAATAATTACTTTCCCTTTCCTATACAAACTTTTTTTTTTCCTATACAAACTTAACCACTGGTTAACCAAATAATAGATGTGAGGAAACATTTCTTTATAAAAATGTTCCAGCTAATAAATGAAAGAGAAATGATAGAATATCCTCCAACTCACAATAAATCAATGGATCCAGACAATAAGTATCAATTTCAGCTGACATCACAGAAAGAGAGAACCAGACACAGTGTACCCTCTGATGAAAGAACACACCATCAACTATAGTTTGCCAAATAGGATTGAACCTGAGTGTATTCAAACATCTGGATCCATGTGTCAATATCCAGAGGAAAGAGGAACATGCTGAGTTGCACCATGAGTATGCAATCAGCAAAATACAGATTGTGGGAAACTCTATAGGTCATAAGATCAAGTTCTTCAGGAAACTCCAAGGAAAAGAAAAGGAGAACTTATGGATTAAAAAGATGTAAAAGATATAGCCAATAAAACAATTTTAAATGGATAAGATTGAAATATAGTGTGTAGAGATACACACTTGGGTAATAATAAAGAAATCCAAGGAAGTGATTACAATGGCTATCACTGTAGTGGTTACTTCTGTGGAGTTTGAGAAGATGGTTGATAACTGCAACTGGACACACAGAAGACAGAATGGCTGGCAGAATTCTAAAACAGTGTTTCCTTAGAATGATGTAAAAAGCTACATTTTGTTTGGTTTAAAGTATTTATATTTTATGTTTTTTCTAAAGAATAAAAGTAAAAAAAAAAAATCAAAGCCCTTAGGGTTTTCCACTAAAAATTATAGATGTGAACACTTCTACTATAAATATCAGCCGAAGGTTCTTAAGAAATTGCCTATATTATAGAAATATTTCTAAATGATAAGCTACAAATATTTGAAAAATATAATATTAAATTCTTATTGTGCATAGTTACAAAAAGTCAAAGAATTAAGTATACATTCCTAACACAAAATTTATTTTGTTACAGTATTATGTTTTATAATTTGGTTAAGTGGACTTTGTTGACCTGCAAAATTTTCCTCTCCTACTCCAATACAAGGCTACTCATATTATTTTATTAGAGATTAGATAAGCACTAGAACAGAATATCTGTACTTGGTTTCACCCCGCATCTTTTTATATAGAACAAAGATTAGTTATCTTGCCCAATCATGACAGTAGTTACTAATATATAGCATTACACACAGTATCATCCAATTTGCAAAAAAAGATCCTTCACCCACATATCCTGCCTTATGTTCTCTTCCACATATTAATGGCTGATAGAGGCTATTTTTTGTTGTTAAGTGTCTAAAAAACTCAAGAATGTAAAACAGATTTAAGCCATCAAAATGAAAGCAATCTTAAAATGCAATATAATTATAAACATGAACAAACATATAACTGTGTTGTACATTTTTGCCCACTGAACATTGACGATTTCCCTCCAATTGTTCAAGCAGCATCTGAACACATGGTGCAACTGTACGGTCTCCTTCCCTTTCCTTTTAATAAAATTATGTGGTGTTTGAGTGATTCACATATTCCAGAAGTGACCGGTCTAAGACCCTTCGGATAAGAGCTTCCTCAATTATATTAAAATCCTACAACAAAGAAAAATAATTAGAAACATACAATCAGAGATGATAGTTTTCAGCACCTGGAGGATAAGAGTCAAGGCAATGCCTCATTTTGCAGGAAAATAGAGCCCTGAATTTAGTGACCTGTCCAAGTTTCCACAAAAACTGTCATAAACCCCAGGACTTTTTTTTGGGGCTAGTGCATTTTCTACTTCATTTTACTACCTAGTAATTAACTAGTTATTGTTATTATTATTATCACAGTCTTGATTTGGAATTTAAATTAGTAATTTTTAGTCAACATTATAAATCATGGTCAGGGTGCCATGTTCCAAATAAACATGTAATATGGAGTAAAATTAAGACATTCTCCTAGAATTCACCAATCCCAGTAGTAATACTAAATCTCTATTTCTGAAAAATATGTTGAGTGCAAAGCTCTTTTTTCCTTGCCTCCCTATGGTCAAAATGGCTTTCAAAACATTAGGTCAGCACATGCTGTAAATTAAACAAAAACTATTAAGAGCCCTATTCTCTGCAATCAATCTCTTCTTCTGCAATAAATCAAAAAAAAAGAAAGAAAAAGAAAAATCTATTGGAAATCCATTCTAAAACATAAGAGCATAAAGGCAAATCAACAACATCCAAAGAAAAGCCATATAGTCTAGAGGAACACAAGATCTGGACTGAATCCTGGCTTTTTCCTAGGCAATTTATTAATCTTTGAGCTTCAGATGTTTCACAGCTCAGCGAGGATAGTAACACAATATTTACTTCACCAAAGTTGCTGTAAGGAATAACATGAGATAATACACTTAAAGTGCATAGTATAGTGGCTGGTAGCTTGGGAAACCAAAAAATCAAAACAAATAATACTGCTTCCACCTCACTTCCACATCCAAAAATACTGTTTTGAGTGGGTTGAAAGTGCTCTCATCAAAATAGCTTCCTCCTGACCAGCCCTAGATCATACTTTGGAGAATCTTGAGAAGGATGGGCTGAATATGAATAGCCAGAGGAGACACGAAATCAATTTGATTTTAGAACATCTCATGGAGCTAAGGTAAAGAGGAAGCCCTATGTGTTGTAAGAAATGAGAACATATAGACCAGAACTAGCCTCTGTCAAAGGCCCCGGGTGCTTCAGAGGGCCAGGAAAGACATAATTTGAGCACTGGAGCCTCTGTTTCAGTTCAATTCTTCAAGTGGTCCTAGCACTTCCGTTTACCCTCTTCCCCATATCCAGCTGGCCAAACAGCCTTGCCCAAACTGGGCAAATCACTTTACATGCACTATCACCTTTAATCCTCACAAGAGCTTTCAAAGAAGTGTTTTTACTCTCCTCACTTAACAAATGAACAGACAGGCTCAGTGGTGAAATACTTTGCCCCTTGCCCGTGGTCACAGAATTGTGACAGAGACAGAGCTGTTACTCAAACCCAGGTCAGAACCCAAGCTCCTTATGTTGCATCTGGATAACCACAGTGGGCAGATCAGAAAGCAGGGAGCGCATTTTCAAGGGATGATCTTCAACAATGACTACATTTTATCTTAAAATTGCATGAAAAGACAGTGATCAAAATCATGTGAAAATTATATGCAAAGTAAAATTTAGCCCTTAACATTTCATGTAGTAATAATAAAATACACTATTTCACAACATGGGTTTGAGGGATTTTCCTTCCGTAACAGGCAACACCCCTTTGCTGAGAGGGACTCAGAAGATAACACATTACCCTCACATGGCAACACAGAGCAAAGTAGAACAAAGGCGACATTAACTTTTTGCTTGTTATTCTCATTCCTGATCATGGGAAATACAGTCATAAGTTAGAACTATTCATACTACATCTAACTTTTCTTCTAAAAAAAATTCTCAGGATGGGGAAGGGGGATTTGGAGGAAGGGAGGGTCCGAAGATACACACTTCCACTTACAAATAAATACTGGGAATGTAATATACAACATGAAGACTATAGTTAACACTAATGTACGGTATATTTGAAAGCTGATAAGAGGGGGCAGCTGGGTGGCTCAGTGGTTGAGCGTCTGCCTTTGGTTCAGGTCATGATCCTGGGGTCCTGGGATCGAGTCCCACATCGAGGCCCCTGCAGGGAGCCTGCTTCTTCTCCCTCTGCCTATGTCTCTGCCTCTCTCTCTGTGTCTCTCATGAATAAATAAAAAAATTTTAAAGCTGATGAGTAAGTAATTAAAATTTTAATAAAAGGGGGGGCAGCCCGGGTGGCTCAGTGGTTTAGCGCCGCCTTCAGCCCAGGGCCTGATCCTGGAGACCTGGGATTGAGTCCCATGTTGGGCTCCCAGCATGGAGCCTGCTTCTCCCTCTGCCTGTGTCTCTGCCTCTCTCTCTCTCTCTCTCTGTGTGTGTGTGTCTCTCATGAATAAATAAATACAATTTTTTTTAAAAAGGTGATACGAGAATAAATCCTAAAAGTTCTCATCACAAGGAAAAAAAAATTTTCGGTATCTATTTGAGATGATGGATGTTAACTAAAATTATTGTGGTGATCATGTCACACTATGTAAGTCAAGTCACTAGACTGTATACCTTAAACCTACATAGTGCTACATTTCAATTATTTCTCAATAAAATGGAAAGAAAAAATTCTTAATTTTTTACATTGGCCATTAGTGGGTAGTTATTGATGGGTAGTTACTGATATATGGGGATTCATGGTACTATTTTGTCTGCTTTTGTATATGTTTATAACTTTTCATAATAAATTTTTTTCAGTTTACAAAAGTTCATCAACATGAGTTTTGTGTTTAATGGAATTTAAATAAAAAATGAGGCCTATCTGTCTTACTACACTGATGATGCCATATCTGTTATTAGCAATTTAATGTACTGTAATAGCAACCAGATGCAAAACAAATTCTGAGCCATTTCATTACTGATGTGATTCTCATCTCAGCTACATAAATTTTCAACTTCATAAAAATTAAGACGATATCTACAGAGGGGACTAGAGTAAAAATTAAAATAATTTGAAAGTGAAATATAGTACCTTATACAATGACTAATTATCTAGATGAAAAAGGAAATAATTTTGTCTAAGGCAGATATAGTTTATGAACACTGTATTTTGTAATTTCTACATAATGCTAATACTTAACCTCAGGTTTGTACATATTTTTTTCTGCTATAATTTTATTTGCTTGGATTTAAAAAGATAAGCTTAACACACACCACACAGAAACATAATGTAAAAGTAAAAAAATATACTTACTATGAAATCATCATAAAACAAAGTGTGGTTGACTTGCAAATGTCTTATTAAACTGCCACTAAAGCTGCCTGGATTCTCATTAGGTAGTAAACGGCAAAGTGGACAGAACTGGAAGTAAAGAAAATCAAGAGTTCAAGAAAGAATTTAAAATAACCAGTCTCACAATTTAAAAATTAATTAACCATTCAACAAAGTGAATTTTAACTTTATGAATCTATTGGCCATTCTTCAGCATAATGTTTTAAAACTGCATAAATATTAATAATACTAACCAAATAAAATTGCATTTCTTTCTTCATATGCATTTCCTGTACTTAACAGTATAGCTATTTATTTCATATTTATCAATCTATTAGTGCAGTTAGTAGGTGTATTATAATATACCTAATTAGTTGCCTCCCTCTTGAAATACTTAATGGCTTTAAAAAATACCCTTTTTCATTTTCAAGTATTCCTAAACTCATGAGAAATTACAAAGATAATGCAAGAGGTCCTACAATTCTATCATCCAACTTCCCCAATAGTAATATCTTATAAACTGCAGTACATTATCAAAACCAGGAAACTGGCAATTAACTAGACTACAAACCTTACTTGGATTTCACCAGCTTTTCCATGAACTCAGTTTTTGGGGTATATGTACCTAGTTCTGTGAAATTTTATTACGTGTATAGATTTAAAGATTTTATTTATTATTTTAGAAAGAGAGCGTGTATGAGCAGAGGGCAGAGGGAGAGAAAGACTCTTAAGCAGACTCCATGCTAAGGGAAGAGCCTGATGCAGAGCTCCATCTCACAACCCTGAGATCATGACCTAAGCTGAAATCACAAGTTGGATGCTTAACCTACTGAGCCACTCAGGTCCCCCCACATGATAGATTTATGTAACCACAAACACAATCAAGGTACAGAACTGCTGTGTTGCTATAAAAGAACCCCTTTATGCTACCTCTTTGTCTTCTCTCCCTAAACCCTGGTATCCACTGATCTGTTCTCCACATCTAAAATTTCAACATTTTGAAAATGTTATATAAATAGAACTATACAATATTTGATCTTTTGAGATTGGCCTTTTTCACTGAGCATAATGGACCTGAGATTCATCCAGGTTGGTTTTTTTTTAAGATTTTATTTATTTATTCATGAGAGACACAAAGAGAGAGGCAGAGACAGAGGCAGAGGGAGAAGCAGACTCCCTGTGGGGAGCCTGATGTGGGACTTGATCCCAGGACTCTGGGATCACGCCCTGAGCAGAAGGCAGACGCTCAACCACTGAGCCACCCAGGTGTCCCTCATCCAGGTGGTTACATGCATCAAAAGTTCCTTTTTATTTATTGCTGAGTAGGATTCCACAGTATGGATATGCCAGTTTATCCATTTACTTTCTGAGGGACATTTGTTGCTTTGTTTTTGGCTGTTAGAAATAAAGATGCAATGAACATTGGTCTACAGATGTTTGCATAAACATGTTTTCATCTCTCTAGAATAAGTTTCCAGGAGTGTGACTGCTAAGTCATATGGTGAGTTTTATGGTTAACTCTGTAAAAAACTGCAAACTCTCTTCCAGAGTGGCTGTACCATTTTACATTCCCACCAGCAATTGAATTATAGCCAGCATTTGATATTGTCTCTCTATTTTTTTATTTCAGTCATTTTGATAGGCGTGCAGTGATATTTCATTATGGTTTTAATTTGCACATCCCTAACAGCTAGTATAAATGACTCTTTTGTTTTAAGATTTATTTATTTTAGAAAGAGAGAGAGAGAGAGTATGCATGCAAGTGAGCAGGGAAGGGGCAAAGGGAGAGACATAATCCTGAAGCAGGAGGTAGGGTTCCATCCCAGGACCCTGAGATCAAGACCTGAACCAAAGTCAGAAGCTTAATGGACTGAGCCACCCATGCGCCTTCTTTCTTTACCATATACTATTTTATTACTGCTTTATTACATTTTAACCTAGGGTTTTTTTTTAAGTTCTATTTCTTCACCATTCTCATTTTTTAAAATATGGTACTGAGTGCCAGGTACATATTAGGCATTAAATTAGGTGGTATTCTTATTTGATCCTCACAAGAACCTCATGAATTAATTATTATCCTATTTCTTTCATGAACTCAATTTCAGAAAGAAAAACAAAATTACCTTAAATTTACACCATTATAAGTATCAGAACTGGGATGAGGCCTCCTGATAAACCATTCGACATTTTTTTCATATTATAACAGTGCTTAAATTTATCTGTTTGATTGATAACATCTTCCTTTAAATTTAAATGAGGTCTTAATGTAATTCTTATTGTTTTACGGGGTTCTCAGTTTCAGTATGTTCAATATCTATACATAGTGCTACTTCTGAATTTTGCTCTAATCCATCAATATATTTTGTAATAAAATGACATCATTTAAGTTATTACTGCTTTATGGTCATTCATGATTTTCTAATGCTGTAGCTATTTTGGTTATTTGGCAAGACTGGCTATCCCAAGATAGCACTTAATCTACCCTGAGACCCCTATGTAGTAATGAGAACACAGCTGAGACCAAGAAATTTTAACAAAAAAGCAACATTAGTTTTTTTGTGATGTGAAAGAAGGAAAACAAACTATGGAAATTTGCTCACTCAGTACTCTTTATTGTGCCTCTACTATGAGCTAGGCGCCTGGAATATGGAAACCAGTAAAGATACTGTTGTGGGGCAGCCCGGGTGGCTCAGTGGTTTAGCACCGCCTTCACCCAGGGGTATGATCCTGGAGATCTGGGATCAAGTCCCACATCAGGCTCCCTATGGAGCCTGCATGGAGCCTGCTTCTCCCTCTGCCTGTGTCTCTGCTTCTCTCTCTCTGTGTCTCTCATGAATGAATGAATAAATAAATAAATAAATAAATAAATAAATAAATAAATAAATAAAATCAGTCTTAAAAAAAAAAAAAGATACCGTTGTGTTGTGTGGCCTGTGAAGTCAGAGAGCCCTCAAATCCCAGCACCAGCTCTTATTAGCTGTGTGACTGACCTTCAGCACATGAATATCCCTCTTCTGTGAAGTGCAAATACCACCACCTAACTTGTAGAGTAGGTATGATGTTTAGAGATAATGTGCTCAATGTGCCAGGTACATACAAGGCATTTAAGAAACACCATATATTTCCTACTATTTGATCCTTGTTCTTGAAGAGTTGGAGTTTTGTGAGGGAAGAAACTCCATGTATCCTGTTCACTCCAGCATTCCCAGTACCTGGAAAATAGTTTCCAACTTCATCTCTGCCTCTCATGGACTTAACCTTGGAAGTAATTAATCTTATCCTGCAAAATGAGAATTATTTCTGCTTTGCAGAGCTGTTTGTATATTTAAAAGATGTCACTTAACATTAGGAAGCTCAGTCATTATATTAGCTTGGTCCCTGGCACAAATACTAAATGGTTGCTATTGTTGTCTCATGAGCAGATACTTTTCAATACTGCACAGCAAGTGCTATACCCAAGATGTGACATTATTATATATTCAAGTGTTATACTCAGAAAGACAGTTTGAGACCTAAAAAAGGAATCATTAATTTTGCCCAGGTAATCAGGAAAGGCTTTAGCCAAGCTGCTGGTACTGAAATTTGTCTGGAAGAATGAGCCAGCGATGCCAGAGTGAGGAGCATCACAGGCAGAGAAATCAATTTGGGAAAAGTCAAGAGACCCTTAATGGACAGGCCTGCTTAGGGAATGGGAAAAGCTTTGGAAAGGTGAAAGTAAGGCATGTTGGGGCAAGCAGTAGAAGATGATTTTGGAAGGCTAAGTTGGAACCAGTTTTGCTCAATAGATATTTGAGCACCTATTGTGGTTTCTGTATGCCCCCGTGTCAAGAGTCAGAGGTACAGAGATGCTAAGCGCTGGCCTAACATTAAGGACCTTCAACATCTAGTGAAGGAGAAAGATACAAAAAACCTGGAACTTTAAGCAAAGTAGTTTTGGTTTTTAGTCTGATGTTAATAGGAGCTAGTAGCGACTTTGGTCTTCTGCCATACATAAAATTTAGTTGTGTAACTCAAGAGATTTCTTCCAGGACAATGAAAAAGAACAGGTGAACATCTATTCTATTCTCAAGATTTGTGTCTTAAATTGAGGGATCTAATCTGAGGGAAGAGAGGGTAAGCACAGGAAGGAGAAAGAAGTGGTAAGAGACTGACTAATCATCACCAAGTACCTAGGTGTTCACCTAAACTCTCCCAAACGTTGTCAATTTGCTAACATCAGCTTATCCTTTATTATGCGCCTCAACTCAATGCTCCGAGGCCATGATACTCATATTAGGAATCAATCAATGCACCGTATACATTCAAAAGATGCTGGCCTCATCTCAGTATTGACTTTATCTGATGGTGAACTCTGCGGGTGAAAAACAGCCACCATATCAGAAGCTACCACCGACTTTAATCCTTCAGAGTATCTATTACAAGGGACACCCAGCTCTATCTGTGGTTTAGATTAACTTCCACAGCAACCATCTGATGGAAAGTGCCATTTGGGGAAGAAATTTAAAATTCCTGAATCCAAAAAAAGAGAAAAGAGACGTACACTGAAAATAATTGCAGGCAAATATGTAACCAAGATTAAGGTACCAGATTGCACATCTAATTTAGCAAGTCTATAAGCAAATTTAATAGAAATTTTTCTTTCTTCCAAAACATTTATGCACACATACTCCCACCGCCCCGTCGAGTCACAGATATTCTAAATACCCACAGAAATAAACCACTGTTGGGGCATGTGGCTCAGGCTTCAGTCACCATAGTTTATATTCCAAACCAATAAAAATCTTATCTCTTCCCTTAAGGAATAAATCTCAGGAGCAAGGCAGAAAATAAGAGACTACTGGCACCTTTGAAATTGGGTGAATGGAATTATGCTTTCCCTTTAACATCTTATTTTTCATAATCACTATATCCTCCTATGCACAAGGCTCTCTGCCAACAGGTGGGCAGGCAACAAAGAAGTCAAGTTCCATGACTTCGTGAACCTGATAACTTACAGGGAAAGACAGATGTGAAACAAAAACACAATTACAAATTGTAATAAATAGAAAGAAAGAAAGAAAGAAAGAAAGAAAGAAAGAGAAAGAAAGAAAGAAAGAGGAGAGAAGCAGGAGCCGAAAGTAATTTGGATGTCAGGGAGGGCTTCCCTGAGGAAGTGAGATGCAAGCAGAGTTCTAAAGGATACTTTTATGAGCCAACCACTGAAAGAAAGGGCACTCTGGGCAGAGAGAAGAGCCAGAAAGTATGGCTCCTGCTGAAACATCTTTCCTTCACAGGACAAAATACCAAATTTTCCTCAAAAGTGGACTAACAATTCAATCTGACGCATGCTGCTTACATAATCGGCCTCCTCTGAGTTTGATATTCCACAGATACAAATTTTCAAAAAATAAAGCATGGCAGGCATGCCTAGGTGGCTTAGTTGGTTAAGCCTCCGATGCCTGGTTTCAGCTCAGGTCATGACCCTGAGATCCTGGGGTAGAGCTGGTGTTGGCTCTGAGCTCAGGGAGGACGTCTGCTTCTCTGCCTCTCCGTCTGCCTCTCCCTCCTGCTTACACACACACACACACACACACTCTCTCTCTCTCTCTCTCTCTCTCTCTCCCCCCCTCTTTTTTCAAATAAATAAATAAATCTTAAAAAAAAAACAAAACGTGGTAGAATTATAATCACTATGTGACAAAAGGGAGCTGTTGGTTCTTAAAAATGCACGTACGTCAAAATTCCTTGATGTCCTTAACCTACTACCCAAGTGTTGAGCAACTCAGAGAGAAAAGATTAGTTGCTCCTGGTTTGATGTCTGAATTATCTAATTTTATCTCAAAGGCAGAATCATTTGCTCAAATCTCTAACTGCCATGAAACTTCTTACATCAGATTAAGTCAGATGATGTCAATGATCTTATCTGTAAGCAAACTCAACAACCCAGCCCATCAAAGCACTAATTCCTTGCTGACTTCCACACCAATCCAGAACCAGTCTTGGACTTAGGACTTCTCCCAGGGTGTTTTCACCTATGTCCCCCCATTAGGGATCCCCAGGCATGTGAATGCAAACCCCAGTTATGCCACATTATCTACTTCCAGCGTTTTCATAACCAAAGTGTATATCCTGAATTCTAGGGGCTCTAGATCCTTCAGAGTGACATGTAGCTTGAGTTTCTACTCAAGCACAAAACATTAACAGGAACCCTAAACGTCTTCTGTTCTAGTGACCACTTCTAGACAGCCCTCGTACATTACAGAACCACAGATTTTGTGAACAATGTGCTCCTGCCTCAAGGTCACAATAGCATCCTGGTCTTTTGAAATTTACTAACACTTCCCCTACCTCTTCCAGCTTGGGTTCCCCAACTGTGAGAGTACATGGCTTCTTCGAAATCGCCACTAGCCTTGGTTTCATGTAGTTGCGCAAGTGGTAGTAGCCCACCATTATCACCTGACTCATTTACTGCTACCCTGTGAAAAGGGCATCATTATCACCTCCATTTTACAAATGATGAAACAGAGGCAAAGACATTAGTGGAATTTGCTGAGATTGGCACCAAAGTTTATCTCCTCCAAAGCCTAGGCTTTTAACTATAAAATTCTACGGGCAATCTGATTCCACCATTCCTGGTTTATTTCTGCCCAACTTTCCTCAACGACTTCTATCACCTCTGAATCAAGGAAGACCTAGCTTCCACGAGCCACCTTCACTCTGATGGCCAAACTGAGCAGCACAGGGGCTAGATTTCTGCTGGAGCACGCACACAGTACCAATGGATAGACCTGCCCCAGACTGCTGCTGTAATAGAGCCCAAGACCATGGTCCAAAGCACCTGGTGTTCCTCCAGCCAGAGCAGCACCTGGATTCTAGTGGTTAGGGCTCAGGTTGCGTGGATAATGCCACCTTTGGGTTGCTAGAAGACAAAGAAGCACTTAGAAATCAGTATATGGTTGCTATTATTATACCATCCTAACACTTTCTTCTAACATCCTCTAGCTCCCGGGGACCTATCATAAAACAGCTCCATAGTCGGGTTCCTTCCACAGAGAAACTTGAGCAGTAAAAGCCCAGGATAATCTCCCCTGCTCTCCCAACACATACCAAGCCATTCCAAGAGCTAAAACCTCTAAACTATTAGGATCAATAACAAGTATCTTTGACTTTACTGTGTGGCTTTTCTTGTGAACTTGCTAGTAGAGCACAGGGGTTCACTATATTCTGGAGCTAGACTATCATGTTCAGATTGTGGCTCAGCTACTTATCAGCTAGCTATGTGACCTTACAGGACATAGTTAACCCCCCTGAGCCTCAACTTATCATTTGTAAAATGGAGGTAATCACACCTATCTTCTAGGATTGTTGTGAGAACTATCCTTGTTTGTAAATTATCTATCTTTCTAATATAACTATGGTTCAATCTCATCACTTTTCAAGAGGATTTCACAGAAAAATAAGCCCCTTAAAACTAAAAAAAAAAAAAAACACAAAGCAAAACTCATATCTCTATAAATGACACACATACACTTATATGCCTGTGTATGTAGATATACACATGCACATACATATATACAGATATACACATATATATTTATAAAATTAAACTAAAACAAAATTCAAAATAATCTTCAAGGTATCATTTTATTTCAGCAAAGCCTTTTATTTTAATTTTAAACTAAATGTACCCAATATTAACCAGGTTAAGGTGAAAGTGGTTTACCCCTAAATTGCTAACACGAATATAAACTGACTCAATCTTTTTGGAATGCATTTAGAAGTCTATTTCAAGAGCTATTAAAAAGTTTGTACTTTCTTGGTCCCAGAAAGATAAACCTAAGGAATTTCCTTTTAGGAAAAAATCCAATAGAGGGAAAAGTTCAAAAGTACAGTATGAATTAAAATCTTAAAATTGGTTAACAAGTGTACAAAAACAGTAAAATGGCTAAGTAAATGAGGACGTACCCAGTACTACCCTGCTTTCCCTCACAACTATATAAAAATGAAAATTATCAAAGCCACACAGAAAAGTAGGACAAAAATGCCAGGCTGAAAAGAAAAAAAAAGGAAGCATCACAATGAACCCAGGAAATGATGAGCAATATATATATATTTAATGTGTAAGCATATGTATAAATAGTTAAGACTATGAAATAAAAGACTGGATAAGACGAATAACTTTCCATGATGACCCTCTCTGCATTATTAAAAAATGTTTTTTACTTAGGATATGACCACAGTATACTAAAGTTGGATCTTAGCTGTGTATTTTTTATCTTCTTAGTTGATTATGCCCATAATTATCTGTGAGATATAATGTCAAATTTCATAAATGAGAGAATGACTGTGCATTAGTAATTCTTACCACTTTCAAATTAACACTTTCACATATTAAGTCACAGGATCAGCACAACCTTGACATAAACTATCCTTTATATTTATAAATAGAAGCCTATTAAATGGATTTCTAATGTATATTGAATTCAGACATTGCAGAAATATAGTAACGAAATTCCTTACCACAGATCTCCTTTCTGATCTGTGATGAGTAATACAGTGATCCAGCAAACTGTCTTCATCCAATTCCCTCTGACAAAACGGACATACACACCTGGAAATTGCATACAATACAGAAATTACTAAAATTGTTGGCATTTAACTAGAGATAAAAAATAGAATGTAGGTGGATCTAGTTTCCAGCCCTTATTCTTCCTGATTTAACATTATTTTTCCATCCTGATAATGGTCAGATATCTACATTTTTTTCCTCATAAAAAAAGTAAGTATCCTCACAAGGGCACAGTAGAGAAACAGTTATAGTGAACATGAAGCCCTTTCTTCTCTTTGGGAGAAAAGTGCAGTCAGAGCGCCCATTAACTGAAAAACTGGGATCACATCACCCAGAAACTTTTTGTTTCTTTTTCTTCCTCCCGTTCCTAATTCAGGTAACATAACTGGGTGTTATTTGTTCTCCAGCTCTACCAGCATATGTGACTACAGGTGTATATAAGGAATATTTGTCCCTTACATGTATGCTGTCCACTACAGGAACTATTAGTCATATATGTCTACTGGCACTTTAAACCTGGCTATTGAAATTGAGTTATGCTGGAAGTACAAAATGCATACTGAGTTTCAAAGACTTTATATTAAAAAAAAAGTAAAATATCTCAATAATGTTTATATTGATTACATGTTCAAATGATAATATTTAAGCCAACTTCAGTTAAATAAAATACACTAAAAATTAATTTCACTGTTTCTTTTTACTTTTTTAAATGTGGCTACCAGAAAATATAAAATTACCTATGTGTTCTAGTGGACACTGCTGCCTTCAACTCACAGGGACAATATGGAGGCTTGGAATTTTTTGCTCACTTTCTATCATAGATACAACTTCCTGTTCCCTAACACTTGTACTCTGTAAAAGCACCTTGTATAAGAATTTTTATAATTTGAATTATGTAGTAGTAAGTTCTTTTATAAAGCAAAGATTTCTATCTTAAATGCAAATATTAATATATCCCGTAAGATTGATTAATCAACAACCCTCCTCATTTTGTTATTTTAATTCTTTATTATTTAATTCTAACCAGCAGAAGAAATTAGGATTTAAGTTAGCTTGCATGTATTTTTAAATTTTCATAAAGCCTATAAACCTTGAAATCAAATCCATGCATTTTCTTAATCCACTTATCTTCCTTCCTTTTGGTCCTTGCAGCCAATCTAACCGAATTCATACTCTGCTTTGAGCCAAAATGCTCATTTCAAATTTGTAACATCATGGTTTAGGACTAATCCTACAATACTGGATACATTTGCAAAGCAATATCTAGTAAAACAAAAAGAAGGGGGGGTAATCATTTAGACTTTCGGGTTAGAAGATCTAAGCTTTGAGTATATTTTCTTAAAATAAGAGTAACATTTTCCTCAGGAAAAAGAAAAAAAAAATCACACTCTTACTGAATACCACTATTGGTAACTGAACTTGTAAGTAGACTTAATGGCTTCCAAGTTATCAGCCTAGACAGGGAAACATAAATCATTTCCTCATTTTGTTGGTAGAGAGAGACTCCAACCTTTGTAATTACTCTCACCATCAGGGTAGTAATGGCCCAGATTTATATCTTTTCTTTTTCTTTAAAAGAAAAACAAATAATGATCAATATTTGTCATTGAGCCTACTAACCCCCTCCATCCCTCCTCTGGCCCCATAAAAGATTACCCACCAAAAAGGTCTCAGTTCAGGATGCCTGCCCTAGGCCTGTTCTTCCTTGTTAGACTATATACTGAGATGCCACTTCCTACCTTCTAAAGCCAAACCAGCAAAACTGAGAGGAAATGAGCTGGGGCACTGAGCAGTGGCAGTGGAAGAGTGAAAATGAATAGGCTCTGAACCAGGATCTACTTGAACCCATTAGTTAGAAAACAGAGCCTTGCAGAACCTCTGCAGTTCCACATTCTATTTTTGGATCTTCCTGAATACACAATCGTCTGAGGAAGTTCTCTCAATCTCTCCAGTACTCGGTTGGCTCCCCTCATGCAAAGTTTTTTGAGTAAAGAAAGCAAAACTCTTTCATAATTATTGCCATTAACAAATGATTACCAATAGTAGGTGTTAGGGTTCAGAGGCTAAACACAACTCCATACATATTTTCACCATAAGAAGGTTAACCTTTCCAGCCTATGAACTTCTTTATAGGCATATCAAATTTAACATTCAACTACATTGTGTTGAAACAAACCTGGTTGCCGTCTCCCCAAGTTCCTGCAGTGGTCCGTATTTATCTATATACTTCTGACAAGATCTTATGTGTGCCCTCATTTCGCTGAGGCAAACCTATATAAAAGCAAATTCAAAATAAAGTCCCTGTTGAAAAGGGGCTCAGTAAAGTCTTCTGTGATCCAGCTTTATTACTTTCATTATTGCAAATAAGTTCATAGTGTGGGTCGGTGGATTCAAAGGATGCATTATTCATGACAAGAGTACAACAAAGTTAAGGCATTACCAAGAATAACACTTTAAAAATACCTCTAATACTCAGAAGATCCAAATGTTGAGTTCTTGAGTTTGGTTCTCCTAGAAGGCACATGTTTTCTTATTCTTATTTTTAAAATATTTATTTATTTATTTGAGAGAGAGAGTGAGCACCTGTGCACACATGTGTATTTGTAGAAGTGAGGGGGAGGGGTTAAGGGAGAGGGAGAGAGAATCCTTAAGTAGACTCCACACTAAGCACAGAGTCTGATGCAGGGCTTGATCCCAGGACCCTGAGACCATGACCTGAGCCAAAATCAAGAGTCAGATGCTTAACCAACTGAGCCACCCAGGCATCCCCAGAAAGCATATGTTTTTTAAAGTGGAAAGACATACCATTACCTAACCTATGATAATAAGAAGTGAGAAAGAAAAAGGAGAGAGGGGAAAGAGAGCAAGCAAGATGGAGGAAAGAAAAAAAATGAGAAGAGACAGAGGGAAAAGAAAACAAAGAGAGATAAAAAGAACCAATAGATGGATTTTAATTTTAAAGATGCCCATAGTAAGTAAAAGGAAATCCTGTGCCTCAGAGAAAGATATAAATACCATGGTTTTATAATATATCCAGCAGTATTACATGAATTCACAATACACAGTATACTTAATGGCCCCATTAAGAGCAAACATAAAAGACAGCTCTTACAAGTCCATTTTTACCAAGACAGAATAAAGAGCCCTTGTTCTTCCAGATATACATTCAAAGATCCTAACCATGAGGGATCTGTGGCTAAAAAACACATCTTCTACTAAATGTTTCATTAGAAACTCTGATAAGATCTTGTGCTAAAGGAAGCTTTGTAGAGCTGTGGTAAGGTGGTCGACCCATCTTGCTTCATTTTGCTCCAGAGCCGGAAGTTAAACCTCAAGCATGAAATCTACCCTGTCAAGGAAACTGTTATAATTGCTTCACTAAAGACAAATTGCTTCACAAAAGACAAAAATAAAAGCGAGTGGAAAAGTGAGAACAAATCCGTGTTTCACAAATATCCACCTGGGACTTGTTGAGGTAGAGGTCTTAAAAACACACTATTTTCCAAGTTTTCACATTCCAATTTTGACCATCAAATCTCTCACATCTCTTTATTACTTTTCTTAAAAGATTTCTCATTTGTATCAAAAATGCTTATCTTTGTTGTTTAAGAATACAAAGGAAGAAGGAAGATACTTCTGCGCATGTTGATTGTCATGTGATGACAAAAAATATCAAAATAAAAATAAGTGATTATTATTATGAATGGAAAAAGCTAATGAATTTGAGCATTGTACCATGTTCCAGACAGTGCTGAAAGCCATATATATTTTATCATTTTCCTTTGCAACTATGCATCATTCCATGACATGAATGCTACCTTTTTCCTCATTTTACAAAAGATGAAAACTTAAATAATAATGTCCCCAAATCACAATTAATGAGTGACAGAATTCACATTTGATCCCAGGAAGTCTGACTCCAAAGACCATATATAAGTTCTATAGTCAGACACCCAAGAATAAGTTATTGAGTCTCAGATAAATATTCAAAACAATATATGAAGCACTAACTATGTGCCAGTCACTTTTCAAAGTGCTGGGTACACACACAGTCACCAATAAAACGGACATGGTCCTTATCCTCACAGAACTTTAAATCTGGTCTGACATAAATTTTAAAAAATCACAAAAGCATAATTCTAAATGGTGGTAAATAGTACAGAGAGAAAGCACAAGGTGCTCAGAAAGTATAACAGGCGACAATGTCGATGAACAATCAAGAAAGGTGCTCTAAAAAAATTCAGGCCCTTAGCATATGATTTCTCTTTTGATCTCAAGATTCCCTATGATAGTATCTTCCCTTGGCAGTTCAAACATGACATATTTAAGACTTCGTGGATTTTTCTCCAAATCTGCTCCTCCTATCAGCACCTTCACCTACACCTACGCATGTCAGAAACCTGGGAGGTACATCTGATACTTTACGCTCTTGTCACATACCAGTGTGTCACACTCAGTGCAGTTCTGGTACTCTGACTTCATTCTCTTGGCTACATCAGTGGCTGGAACTCCTTCTGAGGGAAGATACGCCCGGCAATAAGGACAGGTCCACCTATTGTTCTTCAGACTGGTAGCGATACAGGAACGACAGAATCTGAAAGAAACGAAAGCACACATCATCCATCATTTCCCTTAAAAGGTGTAAGGGACAGCAGCCCGGGTGGCTCAGTGGTTTAGTGCCGCCTTCAGGCCAGGGCATGATCCTGGAGACCCGGGATCGAGTCCCACGTCGGGCTCCCGGCATGGAGCCTGCTTTTCCCTCTGCCTGTGTCTCTGCCTCTCTCTCTCTCTCTCTCTGTGTCTCTCATGAATAAATAAATAAAATCTTTTTAAAAAAAAGTGTAAGGGAGCCACCACTATGTGTTCATTTGTGTAAAGTGTGTTTTCATGACCCCTTACATACCAGGAGCTGTATTGCCAAGCTAAAGGTGTGCTTGCAGCCTATACCTTGGCACAGTCTCTTACCTTCCCGGCAGACGGCCTGGGAGGGTCGCACATTCTCACCACATTTGCTGCTTGCATTTGGACAGAAGAGCACAAAGTGGTGAAAAGAGCATTCTTATAAACGGAATTAAAACTATAACCCAAAGGGTAGCCAATGTGTTCTTTCTTTTCTTTAATCCTATTTTACTCCAAATTGGGATTGGGGTGGGGGAGGGCAGGAAGAGGTCTTGGCTCTGTGGGCTTTTGTATATTAGAAAAAAACACAGCAAGAAGTCAAGGAGGAGAAACACCATGTGCATTATCAGGCTTATAAAATGATTTTAATGTTATTCCCAGGTACAGAAAATGATCTAATTAAAGTTACCACTACTAGGAAATGTTCTCCAAGTCAAGACATTTATTCCCTGGCTTACTTAAAGATAATCGTAATAAAATCTTAACATAATCAGCAGAACTCACAGAAAATCTTGCCCTATTTATAGGAGCTGTTGAAGGCCACGTGCACACCAAAGTTAAAATGACCTTTAGATAAATTACATACATTAGCGTGACCTGATAAGCACCGCTAAAGTACTTGCCATATACCATCTATCTGGGAGTATTAATATTATGGCAAAGTTAAGCTTTTTTAAAATTTAGATATACTATATATATATTGAAAGGTTCACATATCATAGGTATATAGTTCACTGAAATTTCCCAGACTGAACCCCCAATTGTATTAGCCATGACTGATGCCTAAAAGAACTCTCTTCTGCATCTGTTATAAAATTCTTATACACACACAGAGGATGCTGACATTTGCATTGTTCTTTTTTTTTAAGATTATTTATTTATGAAAGACACACAGAGAGAAAGGCAGAGATGTAGGCAGAGGGAGAAGCAGTCTCCAGGCAGGAAGCCTGATGTGGGACTTGGTCCTCAGATCGCAGATCACACCCTGAGCCAGGGGCAGGTGCTCAACCGCTAAGTCACCCAGGCATCCCCATTTGCATTGTTCTTGAGGCATCTGCTTGATATCTATGCTTGTTCAGCATCCATTTCCTCTTTTTCTTGCAACAGCACCCTGATTTTGCTCTGCAGGAACCATATGTCTTACGTGAGATACAATCTGCTGGGCCCTCACCAAGGCGGGCCCTTACAATCTGCTGGGCCCTCACCAAGGTGTCCAATTGTCCAAGGTGTCCAATTGCTGAAGACAAGAGTCCCGCAGTGGGCCAGACCAAGTAAACCCTCTCTCTGGATGATGAGTGCAAAACAGACTGACATAAGGACTGATTCAGCAACAACATGATGGGATGCTGCTCTTTATTTAGAATCCCAGGTCTACCTGGATTCTTACCTTTTTTTTTCTAGGTGTTTTTATTTTTACCGTTGTCTTAGTAACCTTTTATTTGATATGATTTCAAACTTGGTATGCTGTGGTTTGTTGTTTTTTATTTTTAACAAATATTAAAACATACCCTAATTCATTTGACTTTAACAAACCCCTCTGGGGGGTGCCTGGGTGGCACAGTTGGTTAGGCATCTGATTCTTGGTTTCGGCTCAGGTCGTGATCTCGGGTCTTGTGATTGAGCCCCACGTCAGGATCCTCACAACTTACTTGAGTTTTATACCCATACAAACAGAAGACTAATATTGGTGTCGAGCCCTGCAGTGGGCACCCATAGACACAATCTCATTTAGCTCTCAGAGTAATCCTACAATGCTGCTTTGCTTTCTCATCACTTGACTGGTGGCAAACAGAGATTCTGAGAGGTGTAACAACAGGGCCACATGGGTGGCTCAGTCAGTGAAGTGGCTGCCTTTGGCTCAGGGCTTGATCCCAGAGTCCTGGACCCAGCCCCGCATCGGGTTCTCTGCTCAACAGGGAACCTGCTTCTCCCTTCCCTCTTCTGCTTCCCCCTGCTTGAGCTCTTTCACTCTCTCTCTGTCAAATAAATACATAAAAATCTCTAAACAAAACAAAACAAAAAACCACAGAAGTGTAACAACTTGCCAAGTTTATACAGCCTGAAGACGGGAGTACTTTGAACTTCAGTTTTGAAAGGGGCTTGAAAGTATGTGTGGAAGGTCCCCAAATTAACTGGTTCCACTTAGGATTTTTTGACTTTACAATGACACAAAAGCGATACTCATTCAGTAGAAACTGTACTTCAAATTTTGAATTTTGGTCTACTCCTGGTATTCAGTAAATATTCTTGCAATGCTGAGCAGCTCCCAGTCCGCCATGCAGATAAACAACTGATACACTTACAACCATTCTACACCCAGACAAGCACTCTGTTTTGCACTTTCAGTACACTATTCAATGAATTACACAAAATATTCAACACTTTTATTATGAAATAGGCTTGTGTTAGATGATTTTGCCCAATTGTGGGCTAATGTAAATGTTCTAAGCATATTTAGGGTAGATTAGGCTAAGCTATGATGTTTGGCAGGTTAGGTGATTAAATGCATTTTCAACTTACTTTAACTTAGGATGGGTTTATCGGGACAGAACCCCACTGTGAGGCAAGAAAGGTCTGTAGTTCTTTTTAAGTCACCTCGATTCCTCCCAGTGACAAGCAGAAGCAGCAAAACTGTTAGACTGTGGATGTACCCGTATAAACCAGCGGGCTTGTTGGAGTACGTTTCTACTGTCATTGTGTAAATGCTTTTGTACATATTTTTGTAACTAAAACTGATCACTACTGGAAAAAAAACTCATCACTACAACTACAGAAATATCTAGTAGATAGTCATGAAAAGTAGTATACTTAAGGAATTTTAAAAAATCAAGGTTCTAAGCCTTTATGACTACACAGTGGTGTTACATGTGGCGTAAAACTCTCAAATGAGATTAGATAGACACTATTGCATTCTATGAGATTATTAGTTGCAAATCCCATAGGTCAGTCAACTAACTGTACCCCTTTTAACAAAAGTGATTATTAAATGGAGAAAACACAACAAGACCAAGGTGTTTTGGGACAGACCGAAAGTGCTGGTTATGAGTTCATAAAAACCATGACTTTTTAAAGTGTTACCAATAAGGAGAGGAATGGATGCCATCACACCTCAAGTCTTGCTTTTGGGGGTGTAGAAATAAGATTGCAGAACCGCTTAGTTCAAAAAAAATCTGAAGTTAAAAGTCTCCCCTTACAGATACAGTTATCAAATTCAAGTATTGTGAACCGGAGAATTTAACATCTTTACTCTAGTATATTAGCATAAAAAGTATGTAAGTGATCAAGCATTAAACAAGTTGTGTAATTAGAATCCAGATTTAAGTAATTATGTAATTGTATGTGTGTGTACGTAAGCTATATAACAAGGCACAAAAACAAGATAACTCAAAAATAAAACCTCTTAGAAAGCAAAGTGTAGTTGGTGAGAATGCAAACTGGCTCAGCTACTCTGGAAAACTGTATGGAGGTTTCTCAAAAAGTTAAAAACTGAGTTACCCTATGAGCCAACAATTGAACTACTAGGTATTTGTTCAAAGGATACTAAAACAGTGATTGGAAGGGGCACCTGCACCCCAATGTTTATAGAAGCAATGTACAAATAGCCAAACTATGGAAAGAGCCCAGACGTCCATCAACAGACGAAAGGATAAAGAAGATGTGCAAGATGTGGTGTGTATGCATGTGTGTGTGTATACATATACCTATATATATAAACATACATACATATACACATATATATATGGTGTGTGTGTGTGTGTGTATATACCACATATATACACAATGGAATATTACTCAGCCATCAAAAGAATGAAATCTTGCCATTTGCAATGACGTGGATGGAGCTAGAGGAACTAGCAAAATCATTCAGTCAGAGAAAGACAAATACCATATGATTTCACTATATGTGTAATTTAAGAAACAAAACTGATGAACATTGGAGAAGGGAAGAAAGAAATAGGATAAAACAGAGAAGGAGACAAACCATAAGAGACTCTTAACTATAAGAAATGAACTGAGGGTTGCTGGAGGATTTGGTGGGTGGGGAGATGGGGTAATTGGGTGATAGGTGTTAAGGAGGGCATGTGATATGATGAGCACCGGGTGTTATATGCAACTGATGAATCACTAAATTCTACCCCAAAATTAATAATATACTATATGTTAACTAACTTGAATTTAAAACCAAAAAAAGGAAACCAAAGTGTAGGCTATGTATATAATATGAGCTATTCATAGCCTTGTAGATGTATAAAAACATCTAAAAGGATAAAAAAAGAACACTTACCTACCTTTTGGAGAAATGGGAACTAAGAAGAAGAGGTGAGTATTTTCATTGTCAAATTTCAAGTTTGAATCTTATGATAGTATCTACACAATAAATGATTCTTTAAAAAAGTTAATCACCTCTAATTGTTTGAAATAAATGGCCTGGTCATTTTATAAAACAAAATATATAGGTACCTTTGGTCCTGCAATAACAAGCCCATGTATTTATTAAAGAGAAATGAAAATGTATACCTATTGGTACGAGAATATTAATAAGAAATGTATTCATAGCAGCCCCAAATTGGAAGTTACCAAGATGTCCATCAACAAGAAAATGAATAGTAGCACCCGTGTGGCTCAGTGGTTGAGTGTCTGCCTTTGGCTCAGGTCATGATCCTGGGGTTCCTGGGACCGAGTCTCTCATCAGGC